GTATTTCCCTGATGATGAGTGATGTTGAACATATTTTCATGTGCCTGTTGGCCATCTATATGTCTTCTTCGGAAAAATGTCTATCCAAATCCTCTGTGCATTTTTTGATCAGATTTTTTTTTTGGTGTTTACTTGTGTAATTTCTTTATGTATTTTGGATATTAACCAGATATATCATTTACAAATATCTTCTCCCATTCAGTAGGTTGCCTTTTTGTTTTGTTGATGGTTTCCTCGGTGTGCAAAAGCTTTTTATTTTGGTATGGTCCCAATAGTTTATTTTTGCTTTTACTTCCCTTGCCTGAGGAGACATCTGTAAATATGTTGCTAAGGTTGATGTCCAAGAGATTACTGCCTATGTTTTGTCTTAGTTTTATATGATTTCAGTTCTCATGTTTAGGTCTTTTATCCATTTTGAAGTTTTTTGTGTATTGTGTAAGAAAGTGGTCCAGTTTCATTCTTTTGCATGTAGTTGTCCAGTTTTCCCAGCACCATTTATTGGAAAGTCTGTCTTTTCCCCATTATATATACTTGCCTCCTTTGTCATAAGTTAATTGACCATATATGAGAAGGTTTACTTCTGGGCTGTCTATCCTGTTCTGTTGATCTATGTGTCTATTTTTGTGCCAGTACCATACTGTTTAGATTACTATAGCTTTGTAATATATCTTTATCTTGAAATCTGAGATTGTGATACCTCCAACTTTCATCTTTTTTCTCAAGATTGCTTTGGTTATTTGAGGTCTTCGAGGTCTTTTGTGATTCCATACAAATTTTAGCATTATTTGTTCTCGTTCTATGAAAAGTGCTGGTGGTTTCTTTCTTTCTTTTTTTTTAATTTTATTTTATTATGTTACGTTAGTCACCGTACATTACATCATTAGTTTTTGATGTAGTGTTCCGTGATTCATTGTTTGCATATAACACCCAGTGCTCCATTCAATACATGCCCTCCTTAATACCCATCACCGGGCTAACCCATCCCCCAACCCCCTCCCCTCTAAACCCTCAGTTTGTTTCTCAGAGTCCGTAGTCTCTCATAGTTCGTCTCTCCCTCCGATTTCTCCCCCTTCATTTTCCCCTCCTACAGTCTTTTTTTTTTTAACATATAATGTATTATTTGTTTCAGAGGTACAGGTCTGTGATTCATCAGTCTTACACAATTCACAGCGCTCACCATAGCACATACCGTCCCCAATGTCCGTCCCCAGCCACCCCATCCCTCCCACCCCCACCACTCCAGCAACCCTCAGTTTATTTCCTGAGATTAAGAATTCCTCGTATCAGTGAGATCATATGATACTTGTCTTTCTCTGATTGACTTATTTAGCTTAGCATAATACCCTCTAGTTCCAGCCACGTCATTGCAAATGACAAGATTTCAGGTTTTTTGATGGCTGCATAATATTCCATTGTATATATATTCCACATCTTTATCCATTCATCTGTTGATGGACATCTTGGCTCTTTCCATAGTTTGGCTATTGTGGACATTGCTGTTATAAACATTTGGGTGCACGTACCCCTTCAGATCACTACCTTTGTATCTTTGGGGTAAATATCCAGTAGTGCAGTTGCTGGGTCATAGGGTAGCTCTATTTTCAACTTTTTGAGGAACCTCCATACTGTTTTCCAGAGTGTCTGCAGTGCTGGTGGTTTCTTGATATGGATTACATTGAATCTGTAGATTGCTTTGGGTAATATGGACATTTTAACAATATTGATTCTTTCAATCCATGAGCATGGAATATCTTTCCATTTGTGTGTGTGTGTGTTGTCTTCATTTCTTTCATCAATGCCTTATAGTTTTCTATTCCTAAGTATTTTATTTTTTTTGGTTCAATTGTAAATGGAATTGTTTTCATAATTTCTCTTCTACTTTGTTATTAGTGTAGAGAAATGCAACAGATTTCTGTATATTAATTTTGTATCCTGCAACTTCACAGAATTCATTTATTAGTTCTAATAGCTTTTTGGTGGAATCTTTAGGGTTTTCTATGTGTAGTATCATGTCATCTGCAAATAGTGACAGCTTTACTTCCTCCTTACCAACTTGGATTTCTTTATTTCTTTTTCTTGTCTGATTGCTGCAGCTAGGACTTCTGGTACTATATTGAACAACAGTGGTAAAAGTGGACATCCTTGTCTTGTTTCTGATCTTAGAGGAAAAGCTTTCAGTTTTTCATCACCGAATATGATGTTAACTGTGGGTTTTTCATATAAGGCCTTTATTATGTTGAGGTATGTTCCCTCTAAACCTACTTTGTTGAGAGTTTTTATCATGAATGGATATTTATTTTATCAAACGCTTTTTATGCATCTATTCAGATGATATGACTTTTAGCCTTCCTTTTGTTAATGTGATGTATCACACTGATTGATTTGTGAATATATAACCATCCTTGCATCTGTGGAATAGATCCCACTTGATTGTGGTGAGTAATGTTTTTTAATGTATTGTTGAATTTGGTTTGCTAATATTTGTTGAGGATTTTTGCCTATGTTGATCAGGCATATTGGCCTGTAGTTCTCTTTGTTTGTGGTGTCTTTGTCTGGTTTTGGTTAATGCTGGCCTCATAGAATGAATTGGGAGGTTTTCCTTCCTTTTCTATTTTTTAGAATTTTGAGAAGAATAGGTATTAACTCTTCTTTAAATGTTTGGTAGAATTCACCTGTGAAGCCATCGGGTCCTGGACTTTTGTTTATTGGGAGTTTTTTGATTACTGAATAAATTTCATTCCTAGTACTCAGTCTGTTCAAATTTTCTATTTCTTCCTGATTCAGTTTTGGAAGATTGTATGTTTCTAGGAATTTATCCATTTCTTCTAGGTTGTTCAATTGTTGACATATAATTTTTCATTGTATTCTCTTATAATTCTTTCTATTTCTGTGGCATCCATTGTTATTTCTCCTCTCTCATTTCTGATTTTATTTATTTGAGTCTTCTCTCTTTTTTTCTTGATGAGTTTGGCTGAAGGTTTATCAATTTTGTTTATCTTTTCAAAGAACCAGCTCTTGGTTTCATCGATCTTTTCTATTTTTTGTCTCTGTTTCATTTATTTTCACTCCAGTCTTAATAATTTCATTTCTTTGGGCTTTGTTTCTGTTTCTTTTTCTAGTCCCTTTAGGCATAAGGTTAGATTGTTTGAGATTTTTCTTGTTTCTTGAGGTAGGCCTGTATTGCTATAAACTTCCTCTTACACTGCTTTTGCTATGTCCCAAAGATTTTGGATCATTGTGTTTCCAAACCATTTTTATTTTAAAACTGTTCGTTCATACATACTCATAGACAAAAGACTGGAAGTTTACATACCAAATGTCAATAGTACTTCTTGTTTTGGTAAGGGGGTTGTGGGTGATCTTAACACTTTTTTTCTGCTCACTGTCTAAATTTTCTGCAGTGAACATGTATTGACTCATAAGAAGAGTACTCGAATTATTTTTTTAAGTATACAACTCAACAGTGACTGGTAAGAATTATCTGTATTGTTTTTCTCAAGAAGTTTCTACTGTTGAAGTTAAAATAGATATTTCATGTGCTTGAAATCTGACCATAAAGTTACAAGGTGATTTTAGACAAATATACTAGAACTTGTCATAGATGGAAAAGAATGTGTCCCTTTCACAGTTGTCACTCTGGAAGGACTTCTACTTACCCCAAGATGTTGTTTTGCTTTGGCGGTGGGGAATTTATTTTTTGTTAATAATTTTATTTATTAGACTAGGTGATAAATGTTCGTGGTATGAAATTAAAAGGATAAACAGAGCAATGGTTTCTATTTCCTTTTCTGGTTATTTCTTTTATAAGGGTTTGTTGCATGGCCACAGTAGCTTACCTCTCTGAGGCTATGATGATAGTTTTATTTTTGTAAAGTTTTCTTCTCCATGCCTCACGTTCATTTCCTCAGTTCCTGCCTGCTTCTTTCCCCTGCAACTGTCTGTTTTGGTCTCTTCAGCCCTGTGAGAGACTTTCCTCAGATGTCTGGTAGTCAAGCTGTTAGCTAACACTTAATAGTCAGAAACCCAAATTCTAACTGGAAGCTCTGAGCCCATAGAAGGGGGGCCTGTCAGTGCAGAGCCGTGCAGGGGAATCTGGACAGTCTTTTGTTGGAGAACAGCGTCCCGCCCAACCTCTTCTTATGGTCTTAGCCTTACTGCCTTCACTCCTAGGGTGGGGGTTCTTGGTGCTGCAGACCCTGAGCCTTTTTTGGATTTTCTGGCATAAATTGGGTTGTTTCTCAATTTGTCTGCTGCTGGGTGAGGATTTGATTTTCTTGGATCTGCTAAGTTATTTTTCATGTGCTTTTCAGTTCCCCAAATCATTACTTTTGTCCTCTTGTTTTGTTTCCCACCCTGGTGGGGATTTTGCTTTGAAGTGTTTTGGGGGGGAGGATATCTTCTAAATTCACAGGAAGGCTACAAAATTCAGTGTACTTGTTCAATCTGCCATCTTATTCCAGTACTCCTCAAAATATTTTCTGAACCTCATACCGTTTTTTGGCAGAACAGAGCCACTTTACAAGCCCCATGGGATATAGTTCTCTAAAGCTTCGTCTATCTCGATCACTGATTTCATTGACAGACATAGTTCTAAATGACTTGCAACTGTTTCTAGGAATCAGATACATCCTCCTTACCAGGTTCAAGATTTTGTACAAGAATTGCCGTAAGTTGTTGCTGAAGCCCCGGCTGAGAAGTGCTGTGTACTGGGGCAGGCAAAGAGCATGTTAGGGAAAGGATAATGGAATTCCTGAGTCAGCCTTCTTGATGACTCCCATTTTGGTGTGTGACCCTTCCTAGAAGAGAGTCATTCCCACTGTGATTTGGACCCAGGAGGTGAGAGAGGTGGGGTGTAGGTCTTATATGGAGATGGACAATGCCCCTCCCCCAATCTGGTAGGTTCCCAGAGTATAGGTGCCCTCAAGTGGTCATGAACACAGGTGTGGAAGGCTAATCTAAGGAGGAAGTTGGTGCTTAGCTGGTGTCATTTTTCCCTCCAGGCTCCTGTGACGTTTGATGACATCACTGTATACTTGCTTCAGGAAGAATGGATGCTGCTGAGTCAGCAACAGAGGAAGATCTGTGGTTCTGACAAGCTGGTGGCACCACTAGGTATGGGTTCCTTTTCACTTTCCTGCCACCTGAATCTAGATCAGCATTCCAGATTGTATTCAACTATGACACACTTGAGAATTTTCTGGACTCCTACCATTTTTTTTCAGATCTGTTTACATTATTCATCTGCTCAGTCCCGTATGTAACTTAACTGCACGTGGATTCACATCCCACCCTTTCTCTTCTCCCCTTCAATTGACCAAGAGAAGTGGGGAAGTCGGTCATGTCAAGGCTGGACCTTGATGCCTCACCATATCACAGGGTGTCAGGTGGGAAGTCCCACCTGTGGTCTGTGGAGCTGCAGGGTGGATTTTGTTTCACGTGCCCATAGGGCCCTGGGAGGTAGTGAGTGGTGGTAGAAACAGGATCATCTAGTATGTGGGAATCTGCTCTCAGTCCCAGCCTCCACCACGTGACACTGGTGTGCCTTCGACCAAACCCTTGCATTTTTTTTTTTTTAAGACTTTATTTAGAGAGAGAGAGTGTGAGTGTGGAAGGAGAGGGAGAGAGAGAACCTCCGGCTGACTCCATGCTGAGCGCAGAGCCCAACGTCAGGCTTGATCCCACAACCCTGAGATCATGACCTGAGCCAAAACAGAGTCAGATGCTTAACGAACTGAGCCAGCCAGGTGCCCCAAACCCTCTCACTTTTTAAGCCTTGGTTTCCTTCAGGGGGCTGTCGTAGAGGCTTAATGAGATAAAACAATTCAAACTTGGTGCCCATGTAGGTATTTTTCATCTTTTCCGTTTTCTGAGGGTCTTTTCTCTGCTTCTGTGGGTAGACTTTCAGTACCATGGACAGAGGTGATCGTCATTCCGCTGTGGGTACAACATATGTACTATTTTCTCAGTTCACCTCGATGACCACCTGCTGTGCCTTTCTCTTCTTGTCATGTTGGCCCCTGTCCAAGGCTAATGGGAGCAACAGTCTCAGCTCTCTGTGGGTGGAGGGATTGCAGCTGGGTTGGGTCTTCTCCCATGCCTGCCAAAACCAGTTTGAAAATTTCTGGTTCTTTTAAACCAGGAGTTGCAGAGTAGCAGCTCATGGGCCTTTTTTTTTTGGCTTTCATCACTTTTGCTTGGTTTCTTTACAATTAAAAAAAAATTTTTTTTTAAGTTCATTTAAGTAATCTCTACACCTAACATGGGGCTTGAACTCATGACCCTGAGATCAAGAACCACACGCTCTTCCAACTGAGCCAGCCAGGTGCCTCAGTTTCTTTACAGTATTTAATAAGTTGTCAATATTTAACCCCTGGGAACTTTCACATGGAATTATGATTTCCGGTTTTTCTTGAAAAGCAGGACAGTCTGGCTATGCTGACCCTGAGTTCCACGTGGTGGCCTCCCCCTGGGGGGGAGCAGCGGCTGCCCCCACACACAGGTCACCACAGCCTCCTCATCTGGCCTGGTTTCCTCAGTTATGTTATTGGTCTGACCCCTCTCAGCATTTGAGTTTATGAGCCTCTGTTCTGAACCAGTAGTTTTCATACCTTTTCAGCCTCAAAAGGGGCACAGAGCCTTGCTTGTGCCCCTCCTTGCATTCACTCAGACCCCCATTCTTTTGGGGACCTCATGGATATCTGAGTTTCTGTCTGAGTTTCCAAACCACTGTACTAAAGCATCGAGATTCCTACCTGTGTCCTTGACCAATTATCTTACAGTGCGGGGAGGATGTCCCAGGTAGACCCTTCCTTGATGTTGTGATGTGACCTGGATCCAAGACTTCATAAGTGCTTCTCTCTGTTCCTGACTCAGGACCGACTATTGCCAACCCAGAGCTGTTCTATAAGTTTGAGCAAGGGCCAGAGCCATGGCTAGGAAATGTCCAGGGCCAGAGGAATGTCCTGAGCCACCACCCAGGTAAGTGTGGATCCGCACGGGAGGAGGGGTGCTAGCTGGAGAGAGGGAGCAGAAAGATGGGCACCAGGGCTCCTGTCTCATCCTTGGCCTCTCCCTGTTCTCTGCCAACTCACTCACATGCATGCTGTCCTTCCCCAGCCACCACCTTATCTGAAATAGGCACATCTCCCTCAACATCGTCCTCCAGCCTCTCCATCTCCCTTTATTTTATTTCTTCCTGAGAGTATATGTTGATTTATAATTCTATATGCTAAGTTCCATGGAGACATGACTTTGTCTTGTTGACTCCTATAGTCCCATTGGTCTCATTGCTGAGACCAATGCCTGGCGTATGGCAGTTGCATGATAAATAATCACTGAATGAATGGACAGATGTTTGTTAAGTTCTAGGGATTTATCTTGGCTTTTCTCCTCTGAGAAGCCTGTCCTGTTGAGGGACTGGCTTGGCTAGAGTCAGGCCAGGTGACATCTTGTCACTGGATGAGATGGTTGAGTGGAGCAGTCCCCACTGTAGGAGAAAAGGGAGGACAGCTCTTACAGGAGCTGACTCACAGGCATCTGCTCTCCCCCGTGATCTGTCTCAGAGGGACCACATGGAGCCCAAGACTTCAGAGATACTAATTTATTTTGTTTTCCAATGCTTGGCTCTTTTAAAAAAATGTTTTATTTATTTATTTGACAGCGAGAGCGCACATGCACAAGCAGGGGGAATGGCAGGCAGAAAAGAGGGAGAAGCAGGCTCCCTGCTGAGCAGGGAGCCCAATGTGGGGCTCCATCCCAGGACCCTGGGATCATGACCTGAGCCGAAGGCAGACCGACTGAGCCACCCAGGCACCCCCAATGCTTGGCTCTTAATTTTGACCCGGCTTTCTCTTTATTAGCCATTTTGTGCTCCTAAGTTGGCTACAATTAGAGCAAATACCATTGAGTCCTTGGCCACTGGGCATCTGCACTTACGTTGATGCACAAGAAATGGCTCTGGAGGAGTTTAGAGCGTCTAAGCTGCGTTTCAACTTAGGAGTGAATAAAGAAATTTCTAGTTTAACTTGAGGAAGAAAAATCTTAGTTCATGAGAGTTGTTGCCTCTTTGGAAGGGCTGTGGTGTGAGAGTGGACTTGTGTTTCTCTGGAGGGCTGAAGTAGAGACCCTGGGTGGAAGTCATTTAAAAGTGGAGCACAGCTTAAGGCAAACTCTGGAGACCAAAAGCATCTACCCAGGAGGTGGTAGGTCGTACCCTTGCCCGAAAAATACGTGAGCAAAGTGCAAATGCCTGTCTGGCAGGGGTACCGGAGAAGGGGATTCCTGCTGAGGATGGAGTTGCAGGATTTGGCTTTAATTATCTTCTTTAACCGAAATTTTATTAAGTTCAGCGTTCTTATCCATAAATAAGTTGGAACTCCTGAAGATGGTTCCACTATCTTAGGTTGCAGAGATGAAACTGTAGAGATCTTTTTGGCCAGGCGTATCTGCCCTTTAAACTTCAAAAAGGGAGAGATGCTTAAAGCTCATTTGATTGTCTTCTGGGTCAGGTGAGGTGGGCCTGGGGAGCTGGGGGTCTGAAAGAAGAGAATTCCAAGTAGAGCCTGGGCCACTCTTGTGTGTGATTTCCAGCTCTCATATTTGCTACACCGAGAGGCCCATGAGGTGCAGTGGCTCTAACTATAGGATTCTGAGCAAATTCCATTGGTCTCTTTTCTCTAAAGGGAAAAACAAGATGGGCTGCATGGAAGAAAGGGACTCACGAAGTCCTGCCAGAGAAGCCGGACTAGATCTGCCCCCACAGAAGAAAGCCTGTCTTTCCCACTTCAGCACAGAGCATGGCAACATTGAGGTAGACTGTACAGGGAAAAGCAAAAAACCCTCGAAGCCCCGCTCTATCCAGAAGTCTTGGTTTGCGCAGTTCCCATGGCTGGTCATGAATGAGGAGCAGACGGCTCTCTTTTGCTCTGCTTGCCGCGAATACCCATCTGTCAGGGACAAACGGTCAAGATTAATAGAAGGTTATACAGGACCATTCAAGGTGGAGACTCTCAAATACCACGCCAAGAGCAAAGCTCACCTGTTCTGTGTCAATGCCTTGGCGGCACGGGACCCCATCTGGGCGGACCGTTTCCAAAGCGTCCGAGAGGAATCTGGAGATGTCCTGGCCAGCCCTGAGCACCTCTTTACGGCAGACTATCCCATATTGTACCCCCCGGGGCCTCTGGGAGCCTATGATAACATGACCCAGCTCCTGCCCAGCCCAAGAGCTGACCTGGAGGACCCTGGGGGGAATGGAGCATTTCCTACATTGTATCTGGACTGCATTTCTGAGTTGAGGGAAAAAGAAACTGCTGATGATAGCCACAGGTCATCAGATGTCAACATTTTGCGTGATGCTGCTGAACCCGGCGGCCAGGTAATGTGTTTGTAATGACTACTGTGTCTCAAGGGGAAGGATTCCATCCTAGCAACAACACGTGTCGCATGACAATGATGGGAAAATTATAATAGCCATACCCGCTGCAAACATTATAATGTTCTAGACCCTAACATGCTTATGGTGCACTAGGCATTGTTTTATGTGCTTTACTAATGTTACCTCATTAATTAATTTATTTAAAGATTTTCTTTCTTTATTTTAGAAAGAGAGAGCATGCCTGGGGGGAGGAGCAGAGGGAGAGGGAGAGAGAATCTCAAGCAGACTCCCTGCTGAGTGTGGAGCCTGATGCGGGGCTTGATCTTACCACTCTGAGATCATGACCTGAGCCAAAAACAAGAGTCAGCCCTTAACCAACTGAGCCACCCAGGCACCCTGTGTTATTTATTTAAGACAACAGCCCTATTATTTTCATCTCCTTTCGCAGATAACAAAACATAATTAGTGGGACAGAACGTTCCAACCTCTGATATAAAGAAAACTTCTTAAGTTCAGGATGATAACCTTTATCCAGAATCCAAAACAGTCACAGAACTCAATAAATAATACGTGACCACAGAACAACCACAGAGCTCTTAAATAATTAATTTCTAAAATGTTTTTAACTTTAACTTCAGAATTATGCAGCAGCGTTAAACACTGCAGAATTTCCTCACACGCGTTGTTTTATGTAATGTTTTTGATACTGCTCCGAGACTGGTGGAGCAAGTCCTATTAACTCGTCTTGTTGGGAGGACACAGAGCGTGGGGGTACTGACCTGGCCAGAGCCCGAGGGCTCGTGGTGCACCTACGCCGGAGCATGGCCACCAGCCGGCGGCGCCGCCCCTCCACTCCCTGCGCACGCGCACGCGGGGCCGGAAGCTCTGGCGCTCACCTCGTGGGTACCTTGTAAGATCCTAGTTCTTTGCAAAGGTGGCTGTAAGGAACCTGTGTGAACTGGAATTTTGAGTAACGAGACCCTTCACCATTTCTCAACTATTTCATATAAGCAAGATTTCACTAGAAACCATTTTGAGTACACCTCGGGTATTCCCATGAGAATAGCTCAGCTGTTCCTCAGACCTCACATCATAACGGCCCAGCCAAAGTTAGTAAGCTTGAATTTTTCCAGAATCTAGAAAAGTGATGAAGCTCATTTCTCTTCATGTTCATGTTCATTCTACTTTTTAGTATTAGAAGCTAATAAATAGGTCTAACCATTTATATTTGAATTCCTTTAGCAATAAGGCATGTGTCAACCGAGTCACTGAATATAAGCATCTTTCGTTCTTCTGTACTACTTCTTTTTTCTTCCTCTCCCAGTGGGAAATCTTAGCAGGTGCTAGAGGCAGATGGTCACCATTGTAGTCATGGATGAGTAGAAGGCACCCCCTTAGGACTGTATAGGGCAAGGTACAGTCATAAGGCTCTGCCAGGACCCCTGTTCTTCAGCGCATTTTTATTACCTACTAAGAGACCCTAGGATCAGATTGAGGCTCATTTTTTTTTTTTATTTTTTTTTTTTACCTACTAACTGTGGGCCTCACAAATTTGCTTCTCTGACTTTCGATGGATACATTAATTCCTCGGAGTTACATCTGGGCCTCTTGGCAAGCCTCCCAAGGGAAATAGGCCTTGAGAAGGACCCTAAAAGTATCACGCTGGGTGTCTGGCGTAAGAGGCGTATTGAGTGACTACTGCTCTTTGTTGCAGGATCCTTCTGAAGAGGGGCTGTTTGAGGAGGTTCCTGTGGTGTTTGAGGAGCTCCCGGTGGTGTTTGAGGATGTGGCGGTGTATTTCACCCGGGAGGAGTGGGGCATGCTAGTCAAGCGGCAGAAGGAGCTGTACAGAGACGTGATGCGGATGAATTATGAGCTGTTGGCTTCCCTGGGTAAAGATTCACGTAGACCTTTGTTCGCCACCATCATCTGACATGGGAAACCCACAGGGCAGCTGTGGCTTGTGGTCATCTTCCCATTTCTGCCCTCTCCCTGTACGTAGACAGAGAGAGATTATATTTTTTGCACCCCAGAACTCTCCCTGCTTTGGGATACAGTACTTTATCCACTCTTCATCCATCTCTCCATCCATCATCCATCCTCCACCAAACATTTATTGACTACCTCCTATGTGCCAGATGGACACAAATGAAGCAAGGTCTCTGCTTTCAGGGGGCTAGCAGGTTTTCGGGAGAGACAGACACTTGAATGAGAAACTCTAAAATAATACAAGCTCCATAAAAGAAGTTCAGGAAAAGTGCCCTGAGGCTGCTGAGGAAGGACGATTTCATTTTGCTGGCTGTTGGAGGGAGGGATCAGGAAAGTCTTTACAGGGTATGATATGTCTTAACTGAGTGGGGGGACAGGACAGGTGGACAGGGAGAAGGAAGGGCATCTGGACATGCCAGAGGGAGGGACGGCATGGGCAGAGGCGTGGAGGTGCCTCTCCTTTTATGCCAGGGCTGTTTCCTCGTGCCCAGGGGCCAAACAAGCATTGGTGGGCTTGGCCGAGGTGTCACTAGTGGGGGTACTGGAGAAAGATGAACGTAATAGTGCTTGTTACCGTCTCAGAAGAGTGCTCCCTCTTGCATCTGCCTCTTGGGCTCTTTACCTTCTGTTTCCGTCAGATACCCAGGGTTTTCATCAAAAAGGGAAGGCAGGGGGCGTCAAAAAAGGAAGACAACTTTTCATCTTAGAAAGCTCTTATTTACTTACTAGCATATCTGGTAACAGCAGCCTTCCAGAAGAGGCTGCTGGGCACGACTTAGGAATACAACAGCCATCTGCATTGTGACTTCTGCAGGATAAGAACTAAGAATATCTGTGATTTCACTGATGTCCTAGCCCTTGGTTTATACCACCCTTCCATGCGCAGCTAAAATATGGATTATTTTCTGCACATTCCTGACCCATATGCTTGTTTTTATCATTGTTCATAATTTTTAAATGGCTCCTCAAACATTCAGAAATGATGTAAAAACTGGTTTCTTTTGTGACAATAGAGGTGTTGTCCTCATGCCCTCGGCCCAGGGCACTTGTACAGAGTACGCCTTCAAAGAGCATCACTACCCCTGGCACTGTTTAAAAGCAGTGAGAATGAAGGGAAATTCATTTTTAAGAAGTACACACCCACTTACAAGAAGTTGGCTTTTGCTTGAAAGGAATGCGCACTAGTGATGTGCTTTGCCCTGGGGACTCCTGTGGAAAGCAGCGGGTGACTGGTATTGAGCATGGGGTGTCTCCTGACACTGGGGCTGGCCGAGCTCCATGTACGCACTTGGTCAGTTTCTTTTTAACTTATGTAAGTGAGGAAAGGGGGAAATCTTCGCTCCCTGGGGGAAATAAGGGACAGTTCAGTCTGGGTTATGTTTTGTTTGGATGAACAATAAGTATAATCAGAGGAAGGGTAATTAAGTTTGCTTGAGGGTTGCAGCAGGAGTCAGGGAAGGCTTTATAGAGAACGGGGCTGTCCTCGTCAGTCATCTGTGGGACTAAAACGGGTACAGAAGTCTGGAAACAGAGTTGCACGTGTGATCCCTTTTTGTGACTTTAATTAGGTCTTCAGTGATTATCCTTTAATTGCTGTCTGATTTTTCATGTGTGAAGTATAAAACTTTAAGGAGACTTCAGAATATAACTGGGGCCAAACAAAAATGATTTATATGTTTAAATATGAACTTTTAAAGGGCATTGAGCTGATCACTGGGTATAAAACAGTGTTGAAATACAGTGCAGGTGCTATTTTGCTTTGGTGAGTGTTTTTTCTCCCACATTTCATCCTCCTGTGACAACCACTTTAAAAGTTGAGAATCAAATAGTATTTGGTGCTATCTTTCAATTATTATTATTATTTTTTTTTACAAATAGGACTTCTCCTTGGAGTGACCTTAAATTTTGAAAAAGAAAATCCCATCATAATTTTCACAGCCAAGAAAAGTTCTGTTGGCCTTTGAACAAAATCTCCCATCCATTTTTAATGTTTCTTATATTTTGTCTTAAAAGACTGTGTGTGATCTGCTTATACTGGGTGTTTCAGGAAGCTTCTGTGTCTTTCTTTTATTCTTATGTCTGGAAATCATAACAGTGGCTTCTGCTGGTCACTGAGTATCTACAGTGTGCAGGTCCTGTGTTGAGTCTCATATATATATCCTCTCTAATCCTTAAACCAAACCTCTCGGGCAGGTAGTAGTAGTCTTTTCAGATGAGAAAACAGACCAGGGAATCCCAGCCAAGTAGCTGGAAAACAGAGAAACTGAAATTCTTTCTATTCTGTGCATTGCATGTGCCTTACACTCCTTATACTTCCTGCTTGTGGATGTTTACTGCCAACTGGACTCCATCTCTTTCTGTTTCAAGATTTGTGCTAATCATGTTATTAATATATAATAATAATAATATTATTATTATTATTATACACCAGGTATAAGATGAGATTATTTAAGACTTCAAACAGTGTAAGAATTTTCTAAAAGTCTTCACTCCCATCCCCAGTCCCCCTTGCAGGAGGTTGCTAGTTTTCCCAGCTCTTTCAGACCTTCTGTGCAGGTCGCTGTTAGCTCCTTCCCTCCACGAGAACTGGCTGGAGAAAGGGGACTGGGTGCCCCTGGTGATCAGCTCATGTTGCTGCAGCTCAGCTCAGCTTAGGTGGTGGGACATCGGGTCTGCAGGTCATCGTGCTGTTGATTTCCTGTTGGCTCAGATCCTTTGAGGGAACCCAGCTAATTCTTCCATTGCTCTTCTTAGGGTTTACAACTAGTAGATTTGTTCTTTTAGATTTTATAATTGTTTTACCTCTTCTTGAAAAGACAGTCTCAATTTGATGTGATCAGACTTAGTATTAATTTCTGTCAGATATTTGGCAGTTAAATTGCATGGACTGAAGCTTTTCAACAGATGGAGTGTTTCCAGGGTAGGTCCACTCACCTGTCACACCCTCCTTGGCCTCACTGGCCGTCTTATCAATAGGACTGACCATGTAGAGGACAGTCACTTTGTTTATGGAGAAAAAAAGAGGTGTGTGTTTTGTTTTTAACACTTTCCTTTTTTTTTTTTGCACAGAATTTTTAACTTTATTATCAGCTACTGAGCTATGAGATACAAACCAATCAAAAAACATTAAAGTTGCTTGAAACAGGTGTGTACATTTACACTACACAGAAGCCAGGGTCCTATCTTCTGATCCCAAAGCCATTCCTCTGGGGAAGGATGGCCTCAGCTAGGGGGTAAAGGAACACTGTTAAGTTACAATAGTAAGAGTCTCATCCACCTAGGAAAGTAGTCAACAACTGCAGCCACATTTTTTATGGGCACCAAAAACTTACGTGAAATCAGTTTTTAAAGGTTCTCTTAATCATAAAGTTTTCAAATGAAAACAGGAACCCCACTTCCCCTGTAGGCATTCCAGCTCACTACCCAAGAGACTTGAGTACTTCTCTTAAGGCAACTGGAAGCCCACTCTAGCCTTGAATGGTGACTTCTGCCCAGTATGTGACCTGTCCTTCGTTCGCCAGTAAATGCAATCCAACAGAACATGCCATGGGGGAAACAGGAATTTATGCAGTGCTGCCCTCTGGTAAAAGGGGAACACAGCACTCAAAGCAAAAGGCCACGGAAGGCTCCCTGAGAATCCAGTAGATCCAAGAGAAGCCTTCAACTTTCCCAATAAACTTTGCAGCTGGATCCAGGTAGAACAGTGCCCTGCAGCAAGGAGTAGCGTATAAGCCAATGAGAGCACCCAGCTTCCAAGAACTGTTAAAGGGGCTTCCAGAGTCAGTCTCTCCCATTCATAGCACACCTTTGCTTTGATTCTTGCTCACTACAAATCCCTCTGGACAGAGGGGTTTGTTTCTAAGTCTAGAACTTCAGCACAGGGCTGAGAGACTTCATGAAGTATTCCTCTCCGTGTCCAGCCATCTTTGGCAGCTTTCCTCATAATGCTTTCACCTTCCCACTCCCCTGTGGAGGGACAGAAGAACAGGTGATGGGAGAACCTGGGCTCACACTCGAAGGAGATGGACAAGCTCGGCTGCCCAGGGTCAACTGCTCTGGCCTCATAGTCTCTAATCGTTCGTCTCTTAGGAGCAACAGAGAACTGGAAAGCAGCAGAATTTAGAGCAGGATGTTTTTAACACTTTCCTATTTCAGCCTTTTCTTATGTAGACTTGTTTATTTAGAGCTATTTACTTTATCATTCTACAGAGTTTCCGACTATTCTTTTATTTCTGTACTTTATTTTTTTTAATAATTTTATTTATTTATTTGAGAGACAGAGAGAGTGAGAGACAGGGTGAGGGGCAGAGGGAGAAGCAGGCTCCCTGCTCAGCAGGGACTTGATCCCAGGATTCTGGAATTATGACCGGAGCTGAAGGCAGACGCTTAACCGACTGAGCCATCCAGACGCCACTCTTTCCATACTTTAAATTCTGGTTTCAGACTTTGGTCATATTTGATGACATCTCTTGCTTTCCCCCAGAAAGAAAACTCAATTAGATTCCATTGTTAAGAAACTAGTATTTGTCAGTAACAAAAGTAGACATGCCAGTATAAGGACTTTGTGGAATCCCTTGTTTTTATTAGTAAAAGTGTCATTACATGCTAAGTGGCAGGTCATGCACTTCAGGTGGGCAGTGCCTTTTCTACAGGTGAGGTCATTAACTACAGCTAGACGTCACAGAGCTGGGGCCAGAAGTCACGCCTCTAGGTAGAAACCAAAACTGAGTGGGCGGGCCCTCAGTGAGAGATGAGCAGGAGTTCAAATGCTGTGTAGGAGGCCACTGCTGCATGGTGGGCCGGATGTGATGGCCCCCAAGTGGGGGCGCTGCAGGAGCTAGGAGAGAACCAAGACAGGGCGCCAGCTGTCTCCCAGTGGTTCACGGGTATGGCCTGCCAGCCT